GGGATCGCCCTCAGTGCTGCATTCACACTTTCCATGAGACTTTCAGGTGGTACTTCACATAGCCGTTGTAATCGGTTACTAAATTGCCCAGCTTTCATTCTCGCCATGATCTTGGCTTTCAGGTCAGTTGCTGCCTCGCTCAGCATTTCATTCATTGGGGCTGGCCTCCCAATCTCATCATCTGCATTCATTGGGGCTTGCCTCCCAATCTCTGGTATGACCTCCTCCTCTGATCTGGCAGCCTGGGGCCCTTCACCGTGGACCCTGCGTTGTATCTCATGGCTCCCATGGTTGCTCTTATGTCCAAGCATCTCTAGGATCAGTGATGCTGAAGCGTATATCAGCTCATTGGTTTCCGTGATCGTTGCAGAAGGGATCACCCTCAGTGTTGCATTCACACTTTCCATGAGACTTTCAGGTGGTACTTCACAGAGCCATTGTAATCGGTTTCTAGGTTGCCCAGCTTTCATTCTCGCCATGATCTTAGCTTTCAGGTCAGTTGCTGCCTCGCTCAGCATTTCATTCATTGGGGCTGGCCTCCCAATCTCTGGTATGACCTCCTCCTCTGATCTGGCAGCCTAGGGCCCTTCACCATGGAATCTGCGTTGTACCTCATCAATCTCAAGTTGTGACAGCAATTGCCGTTTGTGGATGTTGGAACACTGAGCTACTAGTTGTTTCGTGGTCAACCGTGACTGTGGGTTTTGAAGTAACCATTCAGCTCACATTCTCTGCATGTAACCCCTCTGACTAGGGTTGCTTGAGTAGTAGCATTCCAACAGAGCCATATTATCGCATCTCACCCATCTCCGCTTTGTTCCAGTAGCCTATTTTTCATCAAGGTGCTCTGGTTCCCCAGCCCGTTCCCCGGGCGACGTCTGCAATGGTATAAGACATTTAAGCACGATATCTCCACACTTATATTTCCACAACAGAGTCTTTCGTCTGTAAAAATGTTTTCAGCAAATATCTTCAAACATGTCAAATGTGTGTAGAAACCAATCTTTACTTCACAGGGTCTTTAACATTCAGGTGTACCATTTGATATTTTGATTTAAATATTTAATTAAGCTTTAAGTTGACAAGTATTGCTCTAAATGTGCAAAAAACTGTTCCTCTCAAAGATTTACACTAGTTTTTTTTTTTAAACATTGTTTGAATCTAAATATGACAAAATGTTGCTGTTATTTTCAGCGAGAACCACTTCACAAATGGCACTCTGTCCAAGAAGATCCTGCAGTTGTAAAGAGCTGCGCTGGCTAAACTGTACATTTTTTGTGAAAAAGAAAACTCTCACACAATCACAAAAACAACAATCCCGGAATGCGATGCTTCTATTTCAGTGAGCAGCAAATTTTTGTCTTATTAGATACGTATAGAAACACGGTGAAAAGGAGGCAACACTATACCACATTTGAAAAACCCAGAAGGTCATAGTGCTAGGCTAGTCAAAACTCCCTGTTTGTGTTTTATCTGTCAGGTTTGGGTTCAAACCAACTCATATTTGGATCCAAAAACTCTAGACATAGACAAAATACGAAAAACAAAAATGTTTATTATCAAAAACTTAAAACCGACAAAGTCCAAACCAAAAAAATGCTCATCACAAAGATCCATGGAAAAACAAGGACTCAACAAAAAGCACTTACAAAAGGCAATCATACCAAGAATACAAACGAAATGACAAGAGTCCAATTTACACGAAAAACAAGGGCGAGATCAAAATGACTAAATATCAATACTTACAAACGAGGAAGTAAGAGAGAAAACATGACTATGAATGAGAGCGAAGGGTCTAGAAAACACCACTTCAGAATAAACAGTCCGACAGCAGTCAGAGTTCTTAAATACAAGGCGTGGTGATGATGATGGGGAACAGGTGTGCCGGCTGGAGGGAAACACCCTTCACTCTGAAAACAAAACCACGGACAGACATGACATTATCTGCGTTAACGGTGGCGGAACACATTGATTTTTTTGTTCTCATTTTTTTTCATGGTCAGGATGTTGTTGATTTTGAACATAGTGATGACATTTCTGACCACTGAAATGCTTATCTTTGATGACCGAGGGTACCAAATATTAGTCGAGCTAATTCCTGAATGTCTCATTATGCGCCAACCTTTGTGCGTGACAAATTGTGAAGGATGTTTATTTTGTTTTGGTGATGGTAATGATGCTGAGGCTGAGTAGCTTTATCATAATAATTCCATAGACCCAAACACACACAAGCATACACAGAAACTCCCGGTGGCTTTTATCTGAGGTTGCTATGGATACGGTACACAGAGGCAACCACTCTTTGCTGTTTTCCTTCCTTTCCTATGCTAACATAACAAATCTAAATGAAGATGGTGTGATTTGTTTTTAGCCAGTTGAATATTTCACTGCTGATCCATCCATACAGATGGTCATTTAAAAAAAAAGAGAGGCAATGCAGACAGGTGTGGGTGAGGTACTGGGGCAGCTTTACGATTATTAATAAAGAATGATATAATGGGTGATTTGTGTGCGAGGGATGCTGGCTATCATCAAATTGTGCAATATGAAGTAGTTTGTGGTTTGTTGCACTGGATATTATGTTCATGATATGAAGTGATAAACACGTGCTTTTGAAGTAACGTGAACAATGCGACAGTCCTCGCCCAATTACAGTTGATACATTGTATGACATATAGAGTTTGTCAAAACATTTTTTTCCACACCTAGTACACACAGACACACACATCAGAATCAGAATACCACTTTTAGTTTCATCATCAGCATAAAAATCAGTTTTTTCCCCTCAAATTGTACAGTGTAATTGATAATTTTATATATACAGTATATATATTATATGTACGAGGAGTGGAAAAAATGTGTGTGTGTGTGTGTGTGTGTGTGT